TAGCCATGTATTAATTTTACAATCAGAAAAGGATGTTAACTATAAACTAGGTTAATCTGACCGTCAAATGTCAGAAGCGGCTCTCTAGCCAGCTTGGGGGAGGGACGGCTGGAAGGCATGGCGAGAAACAAAGCTGGAAGTTTGGGGCCTGGGGCTGTGGGACCGCCCCCGGAGGGCGACTGCGGGCCCCACCGGGCACCCCCGCGGGGCAGAGCGCGCTGGTGAAATCTCGACTTCCCGGGGCCTCTTCCTCTCGCCCCTTCCCTCGCCACTTCCTCCAATCGCCCCCGCCATCACGCAGTGAGTCGGACACATTATTTTTACCCAGAAAGTTTCCAAATTCGGGAACTGCACAGCCCCAAATAGTTTGCATCTGAGCTTCCGGTCGCATTCCTGGGCGCGGACAGGCACGGACTGTCCACCCCGCGGTAGCTGCGCGCTCAGGCTGGGGACCCGTCGCGCTGTCCAGGAGCCACGAGGGAGGCGTGCGTGCCCGATTCCCGGAAATTCGTCTGGTTATGGAGCTGTTCGGACGACCAACGGCCCTGCAGAGATTCAAACCGACCGTTTTTAACGCCAGAAGTCCCTGAAACAAAGCCAAAAGTCACGGGGGTGGAGGCGACCACGACCCCAGCTCGCTGCTGTCGGCGCGGCGTGCCACGTCCCCATCCGCCGGGGGCCGGGGTCGCCTTCGTCGGGCGGTAGGACCGAGAGGCAGCTGCGCCCGGGTGCCAACGCGTCTACGGGGCGCACTTGACCCCCGTCCCCCTGCCGGCAGCCCCTCTCCAGCTCGCGGTGAAGGTTCTGGGCGTGGCCTCGGCGCCCTCGCCCAGAAACCAGGCCAGGCAGAGGATGGCGGGACTTGGCGCCTGCCTTAGTCTCCCGATTTGTAATCAGTGGATCGAACCCCCTGCGCGCTGAGTGGGTCAGGTCTCAGCCGCACGCCCTGCACCGTGGATCTCCTTCCCAGGGTCGCTTGGTCCAGCATGCAAGGGAGGGTCCGGAAGGTGGAGGGGGGGAGGAAACGGCCTCCCATCCCTTCGCCCTCAAGCACCTGGGTGGGGCAGGATGGGCTGGGGTGCGCTGAGGATTCTGCCCCTGCCAACCCCACACCGACCCTGACCCGGGAACCAGGCCGCATTTGCTGCCTCCCTTTTCGGGGGCCCCTGGAATCTACCGAGCGCGCTGCCCGCAGGCGCTCCTGGGGCTCTACCTGTCTCCTCAAGGACCCCGCAGTGGCACCCCCATTGTAGGGATGGGGAAATAGGGCCAGAAACTCCTACTAATGAGGGAACAGAAGGCTAGCTGAGGACAAAGCAGAAGCTGGTACTCTACCCCCCCCCCCATGTGGTATGTGTGACATTCCTCAGGCACTTCTGGCTGCCCTAAAGGAAAAACAAATGGTTAACTGATAGAGATCACAGTCCTGCAGGACAGGAGTCTCCCTCCGTTTACATGTGTCCTAGTGATTTACAAGGAAGAAGCTTTCTCATCAATAACCTAACTTCCAAGAGACCCATAACACAGTTTCCTGAAGCCCTAACAGCACCCTCCCCTCCATAAAATGAAGGGAGGCTGAGGCAGAAGGAAATGTAAATAAAATTGAATTTCTTTTGAACCTGAAGCCCATTGACAAGGACTTGTGATTGGAGGAATGCAACATTCCTCCAGGAAACTCCCAACTGTCTTCATGTTCGTGCCTCATTAGAGGGGAAAACAACCTTGGCTTGACAACAACCAGGCCTTCAGTATCCTGGGAGTCTTTAGCAAATGACAGTCCTTCTGGACACCCCCTTTGTCCTCACCTCCCCAACTCCTGAGTATATAACAGGCCACTCCTCAAGACCACAGGGTAGCAGCTCTTCCTGCCCACGGATTCTGTCCCCGTGCTTTAATAAGCCACCATTTTGCACCAAAGAGGCCTCAAGAATTCTTTCTTGGTCGTCGGCTCTGGACTCCACCATACGGAACCTCACCTATATTCCAAAACTGCATCACTGCCTTGCCCAAGTCAACCCCAAGCCTGGCTAGCCTCGTGCACGGGCCTTCCTTCCCAGAGCGAGGACTGGGGGTACCCTGAGGCCCGGACTCAGGCCAGGAAGGGGTCGAAAGGAGCAGAGTGTGCAGGGAGAGGGGCGGAAACGGGCTGGGAGGACACATTGCCAGGGCTGAGGGAGGAGCGCTGGGGAGAATTTATCTGGAGCCCGGTTTGCCCGGCTGGGCGCTGCACCGGGGAGGCTGGTGCCGCCCGCCCCGTGACCACCCCGGGAAGGAAGTCCTGGCACCGGGCACTTGGCGAGTGCAGGGTTGGAGCAGCGGCCCAGGGCCAGGCAGGGTTGGGAGTCCCGATCCCAGGACCGTGACTGGGCGCGGACGGCGTCGGGGCTGCAAGGCGCTGCCCTCCCGGGAGCGGTCGCTGGCCGCTCCCACGCGCAGCTTGGTGGGGTCTGCGGAACCGGGTTCTTCACTAGGAAGTCCCTCACTGAAGGCCCCGGGGACCGTGAAGGGCAGCGGGGGAGTCTGCACCTCCTGGAGGCCAACCTTCCGCGGCTGCGTGGGACCCCAAGTCTCGGCGCGCGGTGGTCTTGAGACGGCCTGTGCGCAGTCCCCGCGGGCGGAAGCCGAAAGGGCTCCAGGCCCTGGGGAAGCGGATTCTCCCGCAGCCCCGCGGCCAGCCCAGCTCCGCCCCGAAACCCAGAAGCCCAGGGTGCGCCCATAGCGGTCCGCGAGCGCCCTCGGGCGACAAAACAATGAATCAGAGAAAAAGCAAAGAATCCAGGTCCCGCAGGGAGGGGACGCGCGCCGAGGCGTGGTTTAGCGTTGGGAAGGGCAGAGCGGATGGGGCGGAGCCTCCTGGGGAGAGCAGGGCCGGGTCGCCTTTCCAGGCCTCTCCTCTGGGGACATCGGGTGCTGTAAGCAGAGAGGGACTCCAGGAGGGCCAAGGGTAGAGCTAGAGGGCAGGGAGACCAGCGAGGAGGCCAGGGCAGGAGCCCCCGGGTGGGGGTGGGGGAGTTTGGGGGTGGAGATACGGGGCTGTTGGGTTGAATGCGCCCGGGAGAGGGGGAGCCAGCGAAGATGACGCCTCGGTTTTTGGCTTGGCAGCTGCATGGGTAACCGTGCCATTCTTTGGAAGGCAAATATGCTGCTGGGGCACTGGGACAGATTGGGATCAGAACCAAGAATTCTGTTTTGAGATTTTCACTAAATTTTCAGGTGGAGCTGGAGAGATCCAGCTGCAGATGGAAATGTCAGGAGAGCAGGGTAGGCCGTGGGAAGCACGGGAAGGACGAAGTCACCCAGGCGGACCGTGGGACAGATGGAGGGAGGAGAGGCCCCAGGACTTTCGAAAACTCCTAGCTGACCCATCTTGTTGGACATTGTTTTCCCTTTACTGAGAAAACTTGCACTGCACAGAAGAGGCAAAAAGCAGACCCTAAAACTGAAGCTGTGGCAGGCCTCGAGCTGAGCCGGTGCTAAGCACAACCAGTGCTGCTCACAGCCTTGCAGGAGGTTCTAGCCAGAGGAAGCTGGTCTCTCCTTTTGACCAGACCGGTCTGGCAGATTCTGGTGAGACATCCACGTTGGCAGCTCTTACAGCGGGGGAATGTCAAGCCTGAGAGGGTCTTCTGGGGTTTCTTCCAGGGACATTTCTCTGTGGCTTCAGCCTAGATCCATTCTGTGAAGTCAACCCTGTATGTTCTGGCCTGATGTCTCTGAGGTGCCTTCTTCATCTACAAATGGCCTCATTCCCTGTTGGGATATTCTGGAACTGGATAGGTCAGCTCCTGCACAGCGCAGCCAAAGACACCCTGAACAGACCTGCTGTCAACCCAAGTAGGATGTGCTCACTAGCCATAGTCTTGCCTTTTCTAGAATATCACATGCTCAGTAAAGCCTTAAATATATAAGTGGACACAAATTCCAGCCCGTTATGTGGCCTTGAGTGAATCACAGATCCTGTCACCTTGGTCTTAAGCGGCTGATGTGGTCATCTGTCCGATCTCCCGCTGGGGAGCACCTCTGTGTCTCTCCTGAGAAGTGGCACCCAGCTCTGCCTGCAGCTGGCTCTTCCTCTCCAAAACTCATCTGTGTAGGTGGGCTTCCACCGGGCTCCTGGACGTGGTTGAGACGTGGGTGCTGGCACCCAGTGTGTGTGTGGGGGGGGACACTGTGGCTAGTGACCTGGCTGAGTCTGGACTCCTGCGTGGCCTCAACCACTGCCCGTTTCGTGCTGTACATTGTTCTAGATCCGTCAGCTTTTTGTTCCCAGCAGCACAACGGGCTCCCTGAGGATGGGAATCACACCCACCCCCAGGTTGCTTTCCTGAGCGCACCCGTCCGGACTGGATGCACAGAAAGCAAACCGCGGGTGTCCCAAGAGCAGGGCTTCCCAGCCTGCGACCCTGCACCGCTTTAAGGCTGAAATGGGTGAGTTACACCAGTTTCCAGGAATCGTTCAGAGGACTAAATGAACAGTGTAAATGTTCGACCAGAGTTAATGAAAGCAAACGGACTAGGTGGGTCAAGGGCTGTTGGGTTCCCCTTAGTGCCTGGGTGTCCCGCTGCGGACGCGACTCCACTTCTCAGCACACACAGGCCCGCACGCCCCAGTTCTCTGATTCCTGTTCTCCCCCCGCTCCCCCGGGGCGTTTCTGAAAGGCACGAGGCCGTGTGGCTGACACAGTGGTGTATTTCCAACATGCCTGGTCTCCGTGCAGGCTGTATCCATCCATCATTCCCCGGGATCGCACGATGGCCGCCTGGACCACAGCGGTTACCCACACCTGCCGGGCCAAAGGCGGCGGGGCGGGGCCAGGGCGGGGCCGCGCGTCCTAGCCCCGCCCCCGTCCGGGCGCCTGCGCGGCGGGCGCGGGAGGAGCGCGGATTCCAGCCGCCCCGCTCCTGTTTCCGCCCGGGCCGCCAGCGCGCAGGACCAGCTTCCGGCCGGCCGGGCGCCGCGCGCCGCGTGGCTTCCGGCGGGCGGCGGGGTTCGCGGGAGCATGGGGAAGGTGAGGGGGCTGCGGGCCCGCGTGCACCAGGCGGCGGTGAGGCCCGCGGGGCAGGCCGCGTCCGACCCCGCGCCCCCGACCCGGGAGGCGGCCCCTGCGCATGCCGCGGCCCGCGGGGTCAGCGCGAAGGTGAGTGGCGGTGCGGTAGGCGCCCCTGAGCGTGGGGGCCGCGCGGGGTCAGGGAGGCGGGCCGCGGGGCTGCGCAGCGGAGAGAGGCCCGGTGTCCGCAGCCGCCGCTCCGTGTGTGTGCGCGCGCGCGCCCGTTCGTCGGTCTGTTCCTCCCTCCCGCGGGGACGCGCCTCCAGGGGCCGCGCTCCGCCTGCTGCTTTCGGGGTCGGTGGGGGTGCGGCCGGGATCCCGGGGTCGGCGCCTCACGCCGTTTCGCGGGGGGCCGACATCCCCCGGTGCGGGCACAGCGCGTTTCACCCGCGTGCTGCGCCCCTCGAGCGCTGCGGGCGTGTACCTGCTGCCCGTGAGCCGGGGGCTGGCGAGCGATGGCGGACCGGACCGCGCCGGTCGGGGGGTGGGAGCGCTGCGCGCGGGGACGCGGTGTGACCAAGCACGCTCCGCTGATGGCGGAACTGCCGAGTTAACACGGGGTCTGGCACCGGTGCCCTGGCTTTCACAAAAGCTCTTGAAATACCATTTGCGTGTCATAAAATTCGCTCATTTGAAGTGTGCAATTCAACGGGCATTTTTAAGCATATTCACCGAGGAGTGCAGTCGTCACCACAAATTTCAGAACATTTGCATCGCACTGAAGAGAAACCCTGGCCCCGAGGGGGTGGCCCCTCTTCCTGGCTAGTTAGTACCTCTGCCCCACAGAAGCTGGGGTGAGCGGGGAGACTGCTGTTCTCAGCCTTCCCTGCTCAACAGGTGGGGGCGAGGTGGGGGGAGGGAGCCCCATCCTCTGGCTCACCTTGGACTAGAGCCCGTGGCACATGGTGGGGGGATCGTTGGCCGCTGGGGCACAGGAGTAGAGCTCCCAAGGGAGTTTCTGTAAGGGGGGTTGGAGAACAGGGCAGAGCTCCTAAGCCATAGGTTCTTCGGGTTCTTGATGAAATTTGTAATCTCCAGCTAAATGGTTGCTGGGACGTGGTGTGTCACACCCGTTCCTGCCCATCTGACCAGGGCTCCCGTGCAGCCCTGGTTGTCCATCCCTGTGCTGACCAGGCCAGGTGGGAGGCCCCCAAGGGTAAAATCCTGCTGATCTCAGGACTGCAGCCAAATTAGAAGGAAACAGCCCGCCGTGAATGAGCGTCGGCATCAGAGTTAGATGCTGTGAGGGCAGAAACTTGAATTATCAGACGGAGACTGTGGAATAAGAATGTTCAGAACACAGAAGAGAAGGAAGCAGAAGAAAACCTTGAGGAGAGTAGGCAGACTTGGAAGAGAAGAGCGGCAGATGGGCCTCGCGGAGACGAAGATTACAGTTGCTGGGCTCTGACGTGGAATATAGGCAGTTGAACAGACCACTGGTTTTCATCATGTGACATTGCAGACCTCAAAAGACTCCCAGCAGCATAGCATCGATACCTGTTACAGTTAAGTTGAAATTTGAAGCACAGAGATGTAAAGCACCCCTGTGGACAATGTCCGAATGGCCATGTGAAAAGAAGTGAGGATTGGCTGTGTGCACACCGCCCCGGGCGACCGGGGACTGCACGCTGCCCCTCCTCTCCTGTGGCTCCTCCTTGGCGGGAGGGCTCAGCTGGGGTGGCCTTCCCTGCTTGGTCCTCCCAGCTGCCTCTCATCCAGCACTGCCCCCTGTGAATTTTCTGATGTCTCTTGCTGACTGACTTTCCCCCCAACCCTGCGAGTTCCCGAGGAGCGTGAGCTTCTTGTTCAGGTGCTCTGGGCTGCAGGCACTCGGGCTGGTTTCTGCACACCACAGTCCTGTTTTGGTCTGTGACTCCCCTGTGGGTCGATCCTGCGGTCCCTCTGTGGTTGGGCCTAGAATGAGCCAGGTGGGTCTGGGAGGTGGGCTCTGGCTCAGCACAGTGTGATTGGCAGTGACTGGGAGGGTTTTGGAGTCTCACTGTTGGAAGGAGGCCTGGGGAGACACTGCTGAGGTGGAACAGTGGTCATGAGATGGGAGAGTGCTGTGGGAAGAAGATGGTGTAGGTTTGGGAGGAAATCTGGTGCCTGTCCCAGTGCTTCTGGTTCATAATCACTACCTATCCTGAGTCTGGTCTAAGATGGTCCCCACAACAGGAGCAAAGCCTGTTTGGTGGTTTGAGGCAGGTGGGAGGGAGTGCTGCCTTGGGTTCTCGGGGCCCTGGGCTCAGCTCTGGGGGGCGAGGGTTACCCCCCACCAGGCTCTCCGCGGAGGAGCTGGTCCGGCCTGGCTCATCTGGAGGGCCCGTCGGGGGCTCTCCCTGCTTCGTCACCGGCCTTGAGTTGTACTCTGCAGCCATGGAGAAATCTTATGTCTTCTTTCCTTCTTAGGAATGGGCTTTCATGAACACTGATGTTTTTGCTGGGACTAAGATAGACCCCAGCGCTTTGGTGCAGAAGCTGGACCCGGACACAAGGAGCGTTGCTTCCGTCAGGAGAGGTGAGAATGTGAGGCTAAGGTCCGGGTGTTTACAGCCCTGGCCCCGGGCCGGGGCTGACATACTCATGTGTGGGCCAGGGCAAGTGTCAGCTAACCTGTACATGTTTCAAAGGTTTTTTTATCCAATGGAAAAATTTTAAGGTGTACTAAAGTAGAAAGAATGGTGTGAAGGTACCCGTCACCCGCTTTCAACTGGATTATTTTGAAGCAAACAGTGTTTTACTTCTAAGTTCTTTTAATATATACGTGCAGAGTTCTTAAAACATAAACGTGCAATACCATTATCACGCCTAAATCATTTAGTAGTCCTTGTCATCAAATAAGCGCACGGTGCTCACATCTTCGTGATCACCTGAAAATTTCTTTGTAGAAATCAGGGTGCTCTCGAGGCCACCCATTCTGTTGCAGCTCCTGCCCCACTTTTTCCTTCATGTCTTACGATGTGAGGCAGGTCATTTTCCCCAGTGTACTTCCCCCACTTGGGACTCTGCTGGTTGTTTCTCTGACAGGCTGCTGCCGGTCACCAGCACTTGTGTGCGGTGGGCTCTGGCCTGGGTAGGGCACGCCGCCGCTGCCACCCCCACCGCCTGGGGGGAGGCCTCTGCTTCCCCAGGAGCCGCGCATTCACAGGTGAGACCTTGGGGCAATGGCGGCGTGTGGGCCCGTGCGGGGCCGGGCTGTCTGTGCCGGTCCGTAATCCTGCTCTGCTGAGACCTGCCCATCTTTTTACCTTGCTTGAATCCTGCTCTGCCTTTCAGGCTCGAAAGTTGTAAGTAGCGGCCTTCTCCTCGTCATGCTGCTGTAAGCACTGATCTCTGCGGCCCCACGGTACTCTGTCCAGTTGACCTGTGCTTTTCTGAATTGGTCTCTTGTTGGGTAATTATGTGGCTTCCAGGTTTTTGATACTGTTCCAGGTTGCGTCTCCTGTTTGTAAGCCATTCTTAAGTGTTGTAAGTTGTAATTATTTCACAGCTGTGATTTGTATCAAGCCCTTTGTTTCTGGTTATATTTTACGCCGTGCTTTGGGGTTTTTATTGTTTCATAGGGGAGATGTGCCCATCCCTGTCTCCTTGCACTTCTTAGTACATTGAAACCTGTAGGGGGAACCCACCCCTGGGTTCTTGGCCAGGAGCCTGCTAAGTAAACCAACAAAAGACAGGCAAGAGAAAAACAATGTATCTTCCGGGAGAAACCTCAGTGAGAGGTAACTCCAAGGGGCTGTTGGAACCAAGGCTTCTCTGGCATCTAGCATAGAAGGCTAGTTCTGTAGGCTTCCAGGGTCACAGACAAGAAGGTAAATATAGGGGGAACTTACCCGAGGAAGGTTCGTTGGTGCAGGTGCATCTAGGTGCTGATTTCCTGTCGTCTTCAAGGCTGGAAGACATCACAGGACAGGGACCCAGGCAGACATTTTCAGAATTTTCTGCTTTTAGTCCGATGAGGGAAGCTCTGGGAGGGTTACCTTCCGCATCTGTTGATCCCATTTGTCTTCAGTTCCAAGGAATCCTCATGGCGGCCAGAGTGGCATGTTCAGGGGTAGCATGTTCTTGTCCCTCGCGGACCGTCCTGCGACTGTTTCTGTGGAGGCACGCTGCAAAGCGGATTGCAGCTCGGGCTGTGTCTTGCCCTGGTGTGAGTCCCCGTGCTCCTGCAGGGACCCAGGGGCTGGGGCGGGGCTGTGCCTGGAGGCCATGGGCACTCAGGCTTCTTTGTTGACCAGCAGGCGGTTTTCCGCTTCTCTCAGCCTTGGATGAGAGCTTTCTGTGTTGTACAGGTTAGCTCTGCTGGGGTTTTTATTTATTTTTTTATTTTTTTATAAGATTTTATTTATTTATTTGAGAGAGAGAATGAGAGAGAGAGAGAGCACATGAGAGGGAAGAGGGTCAGAGGGAGAAGCAGTCTCCCCGCCGCGCAGGGAGCCCGACGCGGGACTCGATCCCGGGACTCCAGGATCATGACCTGAGCCGAAGGCAGGCGTTTAACCGACGGAGCCGCCCAGGCGCCCTCTGCTGGGGATGTTAAACCGCCGCGTCGTCACTCCTTCAGAGAGCCCACAGCGGCTGTCTCCGGCAGTGCCCCCTTCTGTGTGCCACCCTGTGGCCTCTCCCTTGCTCCTCCTGCCTCCCTGGTGGCTGTGGGGCTGTTTGCCTTCCGCCTGCGGGACGGGCTCTGGCACTCTGGTCTGGGCCCGGTCTGGCCCCCGCAGGCTGAGCCCTCCCCGGGGCGGGCACCTGCAGGGTTGGCGGGCCGCCCGCCGGGGGTGGGACGGCTTGGCGCGTGCTCCTCCCGGCCGTCCTTCCGCGTGGGCGTCCCGTCTGTGCTGACAGCCGGAGCGGCGCAGCCTGAGGCAGCAGGGGTGCTCGGCCTGGAGTGACTGAGCCCGTCCAGACCCATTGCCGTGGTGACGTGCGCTGGGCACTTGTCCCCTCCATCCAGGGGCGTGGTGGAGGTAACTGGTGTGTGGCTGTGTTCCTGTGTCAGCTGACACACAGCGCTCAGTGGCAGCCCTGTCCGTGGAAGTGCACAGATTCCCACTTACCTGAGAGGGTGAGCCCTGCAGGGGAGAGGTCGGCTGTGCTGTCCATGGGCGCCGGGGACCCTAGTGCTGCGCCCGCCTCTGGCCTGCCTGTAGTGGGGTCTCTGTGAGGGGCTGGCTTCAGGTGAGGACCCAGGGCAAAGAGCGGGGGAAGCCGTCTGTGCTTCGGTGTCCCTGGACAGTCTGGAGGGAGTGGCGGGGACAGAGCCTTCGTGTGCAGTTGTGGGTCCTGCGTCGGACCACTGGTGATACAGTGTTGGGTCTGCTGGAGTTTGCTGGAGTTGGGAGCATCTCTTTAACTTCGGCTGTCAGGTGAGCGCAGCATCTGCTGGGCAGGTGTGCCACGCAGCCTGCCTGGGGGTTTTCTGGGGCTCCTCTGGCCGTGCTGGCCAGGCAGTGCTCCCATGTCTGTGAGGGGCTGGCGTACTTTGTCCCCCTTCACAGATGGAGGTGAACTGGCGGTGTAAGGGCTGGACCCTCCCTTTGCTGAGCTCAGTGGGAGTGACAGCATGGCCTCCCTCTGCCACTGTTCCCTGCAGGGCACGGTCACAGTCGGTTCTCCCCCCACGTCTCCCCTCCCCTCCCCTCCCCTCCCCGCCTCCTGCGCAGAGAGAGCAGCTGAGGCTGCGCGCCTCCCGTAGGGTGGTCCCCAGCCAGCACCAGCATCACTGGGACCCCACCCAGACCTGCTGAACCTTGTTGCCACCACCCTCCAGTGGTCTTTGTTGCTGCCACATCAGGATACGGGGCAGGAGCCTAGCGGGTCCTGTTTGGCAACTACAGGAGTACAGAAGCCTCTCCCATTTTTTCTCGGATCCTCTTGAAGATCCTAGACCCCAGCCCGGTTCTCTGGGTTCTTAGCTCTGCATGACCACGTCCTTCCTGACCTGATTGGGCCCTAGCAGCCACTGCAGTCCTGTGGCAGCCCCCGGAGTGGCAGCACCTTGGTGCGTCAGCTGCTCTGCCAGCAGATCTGGGGCCTTGCACTTGTGTCTTTGCTCAGTGGGCAGAAATCAGTTACCTCTTGCCTTCAAATCGAGTCTGAGGCGTGTTTTGGTGAAGGTGGGTCAGTAGATGGGAAGTGTTGGACACAGTGCTTGATTTTCGTCAGCACCCAGCTGGGGCTGCAGAAGCCGCGGCCCCTTCCCTGCTGGCTTGAGGTGTCCAGACAGCTCAGGTGTTGGGGCTTCGGCCTTCCCCCCCACGCCGTGCCTCCCTCTCGGCCAACAGCTCTTCCGTCTTGGCCCTTGTCACCTCCCGCCGGGCCAGTGCCCTGGGTCCTACAGGAAACGTCTCACTTTGTGGCTTCCCAGGTTTGAGCGGGGGCTGGTGGCCTGGGACAGGTCCTGTGGAAGGTGGCATCTGAGGACTCAGCTGCTGCTCAGTCACCTGCTGGGCCATGAAGGCAAGGGTGCCTGTCGGCCTGGATTAGCACGGACGTGGCCCTCCCAGAGTCCTTGTCCTGGGCGGAGTCACAGACAGACTCCCTCCACGCCGTGCCTCCTTCTCGCCGCTGTACCGCGCCACGCAGCGGGTACGGTTGGGGGGGCCCTGGCCCGTCGTACGTCCCCACCACGTGCACGTGTGTGGCTCCCCTGACCCAACATGCACACACGTGCTCCTCCCTTGTGTCAACTTGTGCTCATGCCCAAGGGGCCTGTTTGACCTTGTGGGTTCTTTGCTGCTGGCATCTTCCCTGAGTCTGTACAGAGCCTTTGGGAATCTTGCTGGCCTGCGAGCCAAGTCTGCCTCCTTGGTCTCACCTTCTGATTCCAGTCCGTGGGGGCCGCTGGACTCTGTGCGGTGGGTTGTGGGGCTCCTGTGGCGCTGTAGCTTCACCTCCCACCCTGGGGGCAGGAGGCTGTGGTGTGGAGCCAAAGGTTGCCCCCAGTTCCCGCTGCAGACGCCCCCCCACCCCCAGCAGCAGAACTCGGCTCTGCCCCGAGGGTCAGGGTCTGTGGGCTCATGGACCTGTATGTGAAGTGGCTTTGAAGCTCCTCTGCATCAGTCTTGGAGGGCACACGGCCGGTCCAGGGTGAGTATGTGGCTTCTGCGTCCTTCCCCTGCACGGGACACCGCTCTGCTGGTGCTGGGTGTCTAGTTCTGTACCCGTCTGTGCTGGAAAGTTGCAGATAACAAGCTCGGTCTGTCGTCAGTCCTCAGTGGGCCAGTACTCAGTCCTGTGGCCTGGGCTGGGCAGTGGCTGGCCCCTGGACTCAAGCCCAGAGAAGCAGGCACGTGAGGGCAGGCCTGGAGAGGACAGGCCTGGTTAGGGAGGGAGTCCCTAGGGATGACCAAAGAGCATGGCCAGCATGCTGGGCGGTGTGGAGGCTGCCAGGAGGTGCTCTGGGGGGCTGACTAGGTTGTGGCCGAGAGGGTAGGGAGGTGACGGTGGTGAGTGGCCCAGGCCAGCCTCCAGGCCGCAGGGACTCCGGGAGCAGAGCGTGGGGGCCTGCCCTTCTCGGCCCCCGGCTCCAGGGCTGGACTGTGACCTTCACCTTCAGTCTGGAGCAGCTGCAGGTGTGCAGTGTGTTCAGCAGAGGGCGGCAAAGCTGCGTCTCCCGGGAGGCCAAGCCTGGCTTTGGAGAGGCCGGCCCTGCCTTAGGGAGAGGAGCTCGGCAGCACGGATTCCGAGGGCTTTCTGGCGGTTGTCTTCAGGGATTTTGTAAAGCTCCCCCTTCAGAGACTTTTCACAGCTTTTTCTCCGGCTGTGAGGTAGGGGTGAAACACGACCCACCAGGTTTTCAGCACTTCTCCCTGTGCCGCCCCGAGTGTGAAGTGAGCAAGGAGACGGGATGACTGCTCTCTCTGGGCCAGGCTGGGGGCCTTGCCGGTAGCTTCCTGGGGCTGCTTTGGCTGAGGGACTGTTTGAGGCCCCCGTGGCCTTCTGGCCCTCTTGAAGGCTGTTGCGGGGAACTCCCAGAGGTCTGCAGCCGGTGGTGGTGTTTATCAGGTTGGGGAGCCAGAGAGCCTTCCTGCTTCCTCGCTGCGGTGCGTGGCGCCCGCCCGCTGGAGGTGGCCGTGTCTCCTGTGACCGCAGGCTACTGGCTGTAAGACCCTCTACTGCTGCCTGGGCATTTATTTGGTTCCTTGCTGTGGGGGTAGCCTGTGGGCGGGAGCGCCTCTGCCCAGCCCCAGGGAGGGGCACCTACTGCCTCCAGAGGCAGCCTGGCTTGCAGGGCCCAAAGGTCTGTGCCCCTGACCAGGCGGAGGATTGGAAGGCAGGGTCTTCTGCTCTGGGCCTGCTGGCAGCCGTGGGGCCGCCGAGCTGGAATGCTGATGGCATCTGGCCCCGCGGTCACGCAGTGCCGGGGCAGGAAGGGGCCTGCCGTCCGGCTGCTTGCGCCTTGGTCTGCCTCCAGCCCATTCTTTTTAACAACAGGAAGCAGGGAAGGGCAAGGTCAAGGAGGCAGCCTGGAAGGGCCCTGCTTGGATGGTTTGGAGAGGGTATGGGCGTGAGGCTGTGGGGTATGGGGCCTGCATCCCGCTTCCTCTGTCATCAGGGCTTTGGGAGGAGGAATGTGGGAGTACTTGGTCCCGTGCTTCAATTCTCCTTCCTCCCCACTTTGGGACAAGCCACGGCCATTTCATTCCCAGGACCTTCCAGCTTCTAGACGGCTCTTTGTGGGAGGTGAAGCATGGGAGGACCTGGCTGATGCCCACGGGCGCTGCAGCCCGGCTGCGGGAGGACTTGGCGTGTGCAGTCTGTACGGAGAGGGATGAGGTGTGGAGCCGGGAGCACCCCGGAGTGGCCGCAGCTTGCCCTCTGCCCCCGAGCTCTTGTGCTGAGGGCCTGCCTGTGGTAAGCTGACCAGCCAGAGCCTCTGTGCCCTTCCCGGCAGCCCTGAGTGCGGTGTGGGGGCTGAAATCCATGCTGGAGGAGGCCTGGTGCCTTTCGGAGGTGTCTTTTCTGGGCCAAAGAGGGTAGACTGTGGTGTGGTGAACGTCTGCTGAACACCCACACCTGCAGGCCTGGGCTCAGGGTGTGCAGCAGGTAGGGCCTGGGCAGCCCCTAGGTGTACCCTGCAGGTGGCTGGGGCAGCCCTCTGGCCGGGACCTCCCTGCCTAGTTCCAGGCCTTCTCTCTCTCGGGTGCCTCTCTCTGAGAGCCCCAGCCCAAGCCCTGTTCCCGCGCTGTTGCCCAGCCCTGGTGACCCAGATGCCAGCAGGGCTACACAGCCCATGTGGGGGGTGGGGGAGAGATGGGACACGCCCGGCGCACCTGGGCTCCCGGAATCAGTGTGAGCCACAGCAAGGTGTAGGCCCCACCTGCTCACCACGCTCCAGGGCCTCTGCGATGGTCACAGCCCCTTTGAGCAAGGGGCCCCTCCTCCCTCCCATCAGTGCTCCCCGGCTTGGCTCAAGATAGGTTTGGGAGTCGGTGTCTACCTGTGTCCACCCTCAGGACAATGAAGGGGACCGGCGGGGTGAGCCAGGCAGCCACCCTGCAGGACTAAGGTCCAAGACCCCGCCTGGCAGTGGGAAAGAGGAGCAGAATGGGGACTGGGAGGGACGTGCCCACTCTACCGCCAGGCCGCTGGGGTGCCACACTGCAGGGCCTCGGTGTGCCTGTTGGCTGAGGCCCGGGTCCAGGTCTGGATCAGGCTCAGACCCTGGGGGTGCTCATGTTTGTGCTGCTAGATAGCTCTGGGCGTCCGTCCCACCTCGACCTGTGCGGAGCCGCCTCCTGCCACGGTGGGCAGTGGCCGGTGTGAGGACGCGCCTGTAGTCGGATGCTGTGTTCACCTCCCTGGGGACCTGGGAGGCCGAGCTCTTCTGCTCAGGAAGCAGTGAGATGCTGACCTTTTAGCCCGTGCTCTCGTGAGTGACGTGCCGCGGAGACGCTGGAGTGGGGCGGGCGCGCCGGGGCTCCCGGGCCGGGCTCTGCTGCCTGTCTTCCTCTTGTCAGTTATCTGTGGTGCTGCTGCGTTTGCCCCAGGCCTTGCGCACGTCAGTGACCCCCTGCTGTGTTGGTGTGTTGGCGGGCAGTCGGGAGCCAGCCTGCTGGGTCACGTCCTGCCCACCGTTTTCTTGCTGGAGGCCTGAGGCTTTCTGTGATTGGCTCCCTCATCTGCAAGAAGGACTGCTGGGGCTCTCTGTGAGGTCATCCTTGTAGAGCTCTGATTGCAGAGTGTGGCCCAAGCAGGTGACAGGGAGGCTCATGGCGACCCCCTCCTCTGTCCTGGAGCTTGTGATGGCGGCCCCCTTCCTGGCAGCATGACGGGCTGAGTGTTCCCTCCGATTGAAGTAGCTTGTTGGATGTGGCCATCTTAGGAATGGCTGACACATGCACGGGGGGAGAACCAGCAGCCATTCGGGGGCCAGCGTCTTGCTGCAGTGGACCTTGCCACGCATAGGAGGTGGGGGGCGTGGAGAGCCGGCGGGGGGAGAAAGATCTGGGCTCTCTCTGGAATCTGGGGGGAGCAGGAGGGGCCAGGCTGTGGAAGAAGCCCCTTCACTCTGTGCTGTTCCAGGTCTTGGCTCCATGAAGCTGAGCTGACGCATGAATGGATGCCCTGAGTCCTCAACCCTGAACAACCAGGCTCAGCCCTGGCAGAGGCTCGGAAGTCAGGGACTGGCCTCCCTCTAAAACCGCTTTTGTGAAAGGTAACACTTAATAATTGGAAAAGCATGTGTGCAGTAGAGAAAAGACAAAGCCTCCTTCTCTACCCAGAGACTGCAGTCCCTGTGTCCCTGTGTGGGATTTTGCATTTGTGACCCGGCTGTGCCCACAGACTGACCTGGTCAGAGCGGATGCCACCTGCCCCGTTTCCGGAAGCGGCCGGCAGGCTCTTTGGCCCAGCTCACCTCGCTGCCCTTCGTGCCGACGGGCCCCCCTCCCGTGGCCGGCTGGGTGGAGCCGCTGGCCCTGCCTGGGCGAATGTCCATCTGGGAAGAGCCCTGGCTGCCTCCTGCAAGGCTCGCAGAATGCCTCTGTCTGCTTCTCCACGTGTGAGCGGGAGGCCTCCCTGGGCACGCAGAGAGGTGGCGGGCCTGTGTGGAGGGACGGTGCGCCGCCTCAGCTCCCGGAGCTCCTCCGTCAGCGGAGTGGGTCTGGTCGCGGGCAGGTCCTCGGGTGCTCCTCCCTCAACAGATACCACCTGAGAGCCTTCTCTCTCCTGCTGCTCCAGAACCTTCCTTCCAAGGGGGGATGCTGTCTTTACAGCGCTGTCCACCAGCAGCGGCCACTGGACCCGAGGGGGCAGGTGGGGTTATATGACAGTTTGAGGGTCATTCTCTTTGTGAGGGGTGCTGCTCCTTGGGCATGACTGTGTCATGTGCTGGAGGAGACGGTGGGGAGGTGCTGTCTGGGCACGTGGCTTGCTATTTCTAAACCCACTGTTCTGGACTTGGCGGCAAGCAGCTATTTCAGGTTCTCGGCGTGTTTCTGCTGCTTGTGGAGCCTGGCAGCCGCACCCCACCGAGGCCGTCTGCTGTCACTCATGTCCCCGGTGGCTGAGGGGGGCCGGAGGCCTGTGTGCGGTCTCTGCTCATCCAGGCTGTCCGGCCCTATCGGCGCTTGGTGTCTGCGGGTCTGGCAGCCGTCCCCCTTTGGGCACCTGCACGCTCGTGGGTTTTCCAAAGCCCACCTCAAGATGCTCAGGCAGAATCTGTGAGGTTGGGGCCCTCCTGGCCTCTTGTGGACGAAGGGTCCTCACATTCCTACCGCTCAGAGGGAGGCACTGTCCGGTGAAGGTGCTGTGACCGCTGAACCTGAGCATCACCTGCGCTCGCCTGCCTGCCTGTGACTTTGCCCTCGCTCTGCCGGCTTGCTGCTCTCCACGGTCAGGGAGGGGGTGTGTGGCCTGTCTGGCAAGGAGCCTTGAGCAGGGCCTAGCCTTACCCCCCTGTGGGATCATCCTGGGCGCTCCGTAGATTGTGGAGACGAGGTGAGGAGGGGACACCCCCAGAGCATGTTGAGTACATGCTGCTTGGGGGACCCTCGGGGCACCTCGCCCAGTGTCCCCTTTCTCCCTGGCAGATGTGGAGGCCCCTGGAGGGGGGAGGCTGAGCTTGGCTTGAGCGTCTCCGGGTGGAGGCGCCGCCTGCAGGTTTCCTTCCCTGAGAGAAAGGAGCCCGTGAGGATGAGCTCTTTGCCTCCACCCTCGGAGTGCAGCCATGCTGCTCACTGTCCCTCTGGCGCCTGGTTATCTGGAGAGTTCCCCTCTCCCCCGGTCTGTCCTGGCAGTGGCCTGCAGAAGGCGATGGAGATGGGCCAGGTTGGCAGGGGTGGGACGAGGGGTTGCGGGAGGAGCAGGCAGGGGTTACTCATGTCGTGCTGGGGACGGGGGCCCAGGCGCTGGCAGGACAGTCTATTCCGAGGGGAGCACCGCAGGTTGGCCTGAGCCCCCCAGGAGCCCCTCTCCTCTGCCCATGGATGCTGCTCCTCGTCCCCTCCCGTCAGTCTGTTGGGCCTGCAGGGCCACCTCTGAACGAGGAGCAGCTCTGCAGCTGCAGAACCAGAACCACTGGTGGCCCCGTCTGCCTTCCGCTCCGAAAGCTGCGCCAGTGGCCATGTCACCATGTGTCTTTATGTTAGAAGTTGGCTCCCTTGAGTCTGTCCTTTTGACATACGCAACAGTTTGGGTCATCTGGGAGTTCATCATGGGAGAGGTTTTCATCAACAAAAAGGGTGCTTTAACAGTAAAACTTGGTGGGTGTTTTTGAGAATATGTTGATATGGCCTCTTTGGTTAATAATCTTGTCATTTTTCTTCCCAGACAGGGTCTCTGATTAGGGAAATTTGTCCCTGGTTTTTTTATATTTTTGCTTTTATAAAAATTCCTGAATGGCTGTCTGCTTGCAGGGTGCAGCATAAATAATTAAACGGAAAAATGAAGGGAACAAAATCTAGCTGCACTGTCTGTAGGCAACCACCTGTCTCAGGCTTGCCGAGGTGGGGGGCCCGGGCCCTCCTTGTTCTAGCTTCATCTCCGGCTGCCGGGCCTGTCCTCTCTCCGTCCTGGAGAGCCCACAGTGCTCGCCCCCCCCCCGCCGTGGCCCACCACTGCCCTCTCGTTAGCATGGCGCACACGAGTGTGGAGACTCCGTGCAGGGACTCTGGTGCGGCTGTCCCCACTGCAGGTTTCTCCGTTTCCACAGTCTGCATACGTGGCTGGTGCTGGCCCCGTGCTTCCCGGAGTGCTGGGCGTGGTTGCCCATCAGCACAGGGTGTCCTCGCTCCTCTGCAAGGCTGTTGGGGTTTGTCCTATGATGGGACCTACGCTGCAGGGCACGTTGTGTCCTCCCATCTTTGTGGATGCTAGTAAACACCTCTGTACACAGAAATGTAGAGGTGGAATTGCTGAGTCAGATGTGCAGACATTTAAAAAATCCGTAGATGGTTTTGGGAGCCAGATGGCCCCTTTGGCCCTAGTTTTGCATCACAAGTCCCCGAGGTGGACTTGTGTATAATACAATATAATATCCTGTGGCCCAGGGTATTAGTACATGCCTCTGACTGGGGACCGAACACGAGAAGCCCATAAAACAACAACGAAAGTCAGTAGACCTAATCGCCTTCTAAAGATGCTGCCCCGTGGGAGCCCTTGCTGTGCGTGTGAGAGTCTGCCTCTGCCTCTGGTCTGAGCCAGCTGGTGCATGCCTAGGTCTGTGCTAACGTCAAGGGCAACCAGTTTTTGGGGGCTGGTTTGTAAGATGTGCGCTTCCTTAGAAGTTCCATTAGCCATGTTTCTCTGAAGGCAGCCCGTTTCTGCACCTTATTCCTTTATGCTGTTTGCCTTTTCTATTGATTCAGAAGCGCTTTTTTATCTGCAGGTGTCCCCATTAGTAATGCTTTTTGAGTTTATCCACGTAACTTTTTTAATACAGTTCTTGTACATAGTCAAATTGATGTTTTCTTTGTATTTTGTGACTCATTTGTGTTTTTGTAGTACTTTTACGCTTTTGTTGTTTATATATTTTATGCATCGGGACCTTCTTTTGATGCACAGAGGGACGGGAAGGATTCCCACTTTATTCCTCCAAATCTCTGTCTTTGGTAGCATTTGCTGAGAAGCTGAGGTGTGAGCGTCAGTGTCCCGGGATGCCTTTGTGCGAGGCTTCAGTCACATCAGCCTGCTCCTGAAGCTGCTCTGAAACCTGAGGCTACCTCCTCCTGTTACCTGTGCTTGGTTTTTGCACATCTTTGTTGACAGAAGGAGAGCAGGTTCTTCGTGTCATTTATGGAAAAGCTAATTACGTATTAATTCTTCTTCCAGTTCTGTTAGGATGTACGTCCTGTGATTCATTACTCATGTCCTGTCCTTTGCACGTCCTGCCCAGGCTGCAGACTGCATGGGAGGCGGGCCGCTGGGGCGCCAGTGCAGTGCTGGGCACTGGACCTTGCACTATGCGCTGGCATTCTGCTTACATGGATGAGAAGACTGTTGTGTCTCTACCGCTGAGGATCCAGAGCTTCCTGTCTTGCCGTAGGAAGCTGCGTCTCACCGTCAGCTTTTCTGGTTGGAGCAGCCTGTGCCTGAGCTCATGCTCACCCTTTCTCCTTGGGATGCCCTGTAGCTGAGGTCACTGCCCTGGGGCTGGAGGGTGGGGCTCAGAAGGTGGGTGGGTTGGTGGGGTGCAGGCACAGCGAGGGTGGGAGGCCACCCTGCCTCCTGGGCTCAGCATGGTCACTGGGTTGATTGTTTTAAGTATTGTTTTTAGGTTCTGGAGGATTTTGTGATCCTGAAGGTTAGAATACACTGCTCGCTGGGTCACGTGGACACCCAGGGTTGGTGTTCCTGGCACCTGCCCTGAGTTCGGGTTGGGTACTCAGTTTGGGATGACACGCCCCAGGGGGCGCAGTTGCTGTCACTTTGTCACTTCTCAGAAATGCTGCTGGACACGTTCCCCTCCCCCAGGGCAGCAGGGCTGTAGTGTTGACTCTGGGGGTTCTGGAGGTGAGGGCACACCCAGGACAGTGGCCCTGGGAGGGACTAGGACCCAGGTTTGTGTGCGGTACTTTTAAGGCTCCTGCTTGGGACCAGAGAGGCCAGCGTCATTGCACCCAGCCCCAGTTTTCCGAGGCTGGTGTTTCTGCTGTTGTGGGTCACATGGAGCTTGCTGCACCGAGGAGGCGACTGGAGGTTTGGTGTACTTCCTTTGTTGTACGTGTAAGAACTGGGACAGCCCACGCTGACACCGCACGTGGGTCTGTCAGCCTTGGTGTGGGAGGTGCCGGTTGCTCTCTCCTGCCTGGTTCTGGGTAGGTTCTGCTCTGGGCCTCCGTGCCTCCCTTTGTGACGTGGCACAGCTACCTGCAGGGCGTCAGGAGGAACAGGGCCTGTGGGACCAGCACCCTCTAGCCCCTGCAACCACAGGAGGGAAGCCCACAAGGTAGGGTGGGAGTAACTGAGAGCCAGAGCAGAATTTGGTGAGGGGGTGCTCCTGGGTAGGATGTGAACTGGTGCTCCCCGGTTGCTGGCCCCTGTGGCAGAGCCCTGTCGGCATGCTGTGGTGGAGAAACCACAGTCGCACAGTGCTGTTGGGATTCCCGTCCACCTGGGAGAGGTGTCCTCACTCGGGGTCATGAGGGTGGCCTGCCCAGGGCTGAGCCCAGGGGGGCCCGATGTGGGGCCATGGAAGGGGCTTGGTGCTAAGACTGGACACTGGACAGGCCATCTCCGTGTCCCCCTGAGCATCTCCTGATCCATCTCAGCCCATGCTCCTGGCGCCATTGCTGAGGGTGGGTCCCCTTTCACAGGTGTTGGCTTAGGACACCCGGGCACTCTGGTGAGCAGGCACCAGCGCAGCAAGGGGCCTGGGGGCGGAGGTCACGTGCGCGCACGTCGGAGCGACCGGGCTCGGAGTGGGTGCAGCTGGAGGCCCTCGAGGGCTCTTTACCGTCTTCCCTCTCCTGCACGTGTGTGAAAATCTCCAGTAAGAAGGCTGCCGTGGAGCCCTCTCCCTCCGCTCCGGGTCTGACACTGTCCAGGGACAGCGAGGTGCGCCTGGGCAGCTGTCTTGCCTCGCTCAGCCTCAGGCTCTGGCTGCCCAGACCATCCCGGCACTCCCAGATACCACCCTCCCTGAAGCCTGTGTTTACATGGCTTGTCTGCAGGGCCCGTCCACCTGGCGCACCGGCCACCACGCCCCTCTTGCCCTCTGGTCTGTCTCATTCGAGGCTGTAGACTCAGTGCAAAGTGAGGGCTTTGCCTGGTCCTTGGGGGTTTGGGCTTTTGGAACCCTCCAGTTGTCCTGGGGACCTGCATCAGGGACGCTGAGGTGAGCAGGGCTTGTGGTGCCCATGCTCATCCCCGCCGCCCATGCCCGGTGTGGGCAGCGTGTTTGCTCCCTGCAGCCTGTGGGGCCGGCGCTTCCAGGCAGCTTCTGGGGGACCTCACTCTCCAGGTGCTCGGCTGTGTCACAGGGATGGCATGTTTGGTTCCTGTTTCCCCGGTGCCATGGGGACAGGCTACTGGGCAGAGGCCCCCCAGGGGTGGGGTCTCCCTGAACTTTGTGAGCCGCCTTCACATCCCCCTGTCGGATGCTTCTCTGGGAGGGCACCCTCCTGCATTCACCTGCTGGACATGTGGGTCAGCTCTGTTCCTGTCACTGGCCTCCATTGCCCAGACTGTCACCTCAGTCAGATGCCCCCTGACCTCATAGTGGGCACTGTCATCACCCCGTATGCGGCTTGACCTGGCACCGGGACATGTGGACATCTCACCCCCACCCCCACCCCCAGAGGCCTCTGGTGCCTGCACGAGGCTGCAGAGATGCCCTCCCTGCTCTGTATCAGGCCGGCACCTGGCGGCCGGATAGCATGGTGGGTGTGGTGCCAGGTGCAGGGGGGTGGGGGCTGGAGCAGCTGGAGGAGCAGGGTTACCCCGGGGGCCCATACCCTGCAGCCCCTTCTGTCCGCCCTCTCACACCCGCCCCCATTCTGAGCAGCTGAGGGTGACTGGAATGTCACACAAGGCCTCCGCTCTCTGGGCAGGTGGGGGGGGGCAGTGAGAGGTCAGGGCCTCGAGGAGGAGAGTAGGTCAGCTCCAGCGCGTCTGGAAGTTTCAACACAAGGCCACAGCGTGCAGGGTCTTACCCTTGGAGAAGGGATTAATCCTCCTGGGAGTCCCAGGTTACAAGGTTTTTTATGCACGTTCCTGAGCTGAAGAGTCTAGTTTAACAGGCGCACCCCCGTTCTCTTGATGGAACTTGTCTCCACTCTGTTGTGTAGGCACCATAGATCTCCCGTACGAGCTGGGAAATCGGCGTGAAGTAAAGACACGTCGGGAGATGTGTCTCATAGCCTGTGCTCGGGGTGGGCTATGCCCTGGGCTTAGGCCACTTGGATCTTTGGGGAAACCAGTTAAGGCCAAGGAAGTGGAGCCAGCCTGGAGACTGCTCTGTTTGTAGAGGCAGAGACACTGTCCGCGGCGTCCGGCGTCCCCTGGCCCAGCGCCCTCCCAGCCTGTGCTCCCACATGCCACAGCCCTGACGTGGACTCCGTCTCTGTGCTCCCAGAGCCTGGCAGCGACGCTACACTCCCTTCCCCCAGGTCAGGCCAGGCTCCCGTGCACAGAGCCCAGGGGACACCTGCATGTTTCACCCGTGGTAGCTCTCCAAACGTGAGGTAGCCTCTCTTCTCCCCGGCTGGAAGAATTCCAAAGGGGTGATGACGATCTCTCTGGGTTTGTATCGTAAATTTATAGATCATGCCCAAAGTTACCCTGCTCTCTGTCCCACTCGTTCACTCTCGAATGCAGAGGCTGTGAGAGGCTCAGTGACTCGTGAGGGGTCCCTTTTGTGGTTGTCCCACTGCTCAGGGTGTAGTTCAGGCCCTGTGCCGACGTCCTGCCCTCGGAGAAGGAAGGGCCTGGAGAAGGGGAGGCCCAGTGCCGTCTGATGCACCAGCAGGCCCTGCCTGAGCAACCTTGGGGCTATAGATGGCTTGTGCTGACACAGGCTGACTGGCTTTGTCCAGCTGGGAGTCAGCATCTGGTCAGTGATGTCAGGTTTAGCCCTCCTACTCTGCGTGCCTCCTGGGGGCAGGGGCTCCTCTGTCTATCCCCCCATCCCGTCCGCCTGCTGAGGAGAGAAGCCCTGTGTCCTGCGGCCAGGGCCGTGTGTGATTTTTTGTGCCCACGTGGTTCAGGCTTTACTTCAAGTCTCGTGTCTCCGTTACCCCTCCAGCAGTGTGGTCCCAGGGCAGCTCCTTTCCAGTCCCGGTCCCTAGCAGTTCCCATGACCTGGGGGGGTTACGGCCCCCTCTGTTGGGCTAGTTCGTAGGGTCACTGACAGAAAGGTGCCCAGTGCTCCTAAAGGTCAGCAGGTTTCTTCAGGTAGTTCGTGAATGAGTGTTAACAGGTGCCCTTTCCTTGGTGGGTGATGGGTGATGCCATGTCGGTGTCTGGTAACTGTGGTCCGTGTGGGGACTGGGCAGGCGGGGCCGCACTGGCCTGCTCTCTGGCTGATGGCGGAAGCACAGGGCTTTGCCTTATTCCCGAGAAGATGGATGTGGGGGTCCGCTCGGGCGGCTGGAGCAAACACCACACCTGTGTCCCTCACAGTCTGGAGGCTGGGCATCTGAGGTCAGGATGCTGGCAGGCTTGGTTCCTCTGAGGCCTCTCTCGTGGGTGTGTAGATGTCCATCATCCTCACATCATCGTCCCTGTGAATGTCTGTGTTCTGATTTCTTCTTATGAGGACACCAGTCCCGTTGGATCAGGGCCACCGTTGTGCCCTCATTAAAGACCATGTCTTCAAACACAGTTGCATTCTGAGGGCCTGGTGATTAGGACTTGAGCATGTGCATTTGGGGAACACAGTTTAGTCCATAAAATGGGGGTGTGCAGACATACCACGGGGGTGAGGGCAGGCTTATGAGGGAGGGGAGGCCACTCACCCACTGAGCTGGGGGGAGCAGGGAGGGTGGTGGGAGGGTCAGCCGGTGGCCTGCGCTCTGATGACGGAGGTGTTCTGGAGACAGAGGAGAGGGTGTGTGTTGCACTCTTTGCCCTGACCCTGGGTTAGGGTTAGGCTGGGAACGTTGCAGACACGTTCCGATGCTGGCAGGCGAGGGTGGACAGCGGCCCCTCACAGAAGGGACCATGTGAGGAGAAGTGGGTTTTTCTTACTGCCTTGGTGGAGTCGGTGACAAGATCTGGGACCATTTTTTTGCTTCGACTGGACTCACCTGAGACCCTCGGCTTTGGGCAGCGCCTGTGCCGAGAAACTGCAAACAGGTGGGGACCGTGAGCCTCAGCTCCAGAACTCCAGGTCCCAGGCTCGGGGGCACGGGCCTTCCTCCTGGTGAGTTATGTGGCATCTCTGGGCTGCCTGGTCACACTGCAGCCTGTTCTGGAGGTCATCCTGGGGTCACGTGTCCCGGGGCAGCCCCACAGGAAGTGCTCAGGGATCCCTCCTGACTCTGGGCCGCCATGCACCTGGCAGCGGCCTGGCCTGGGGCACAGTTCCTGGCTCCTCCCTGTGGGCACGGAGCGCCCCACTCACCCCCATGTGTTCTCTGTCCTCAGGTGCGGAGGCCAGGGCTGTTTTGCCCAAGAAGGAGAAACTGAAGCTGCGGCGTGAGAGGTGGCTGCAGAGTAAGTTCGGCCCCCGTGCTCCCCCCGCCCCAACACCCGCAGTGGCCTGGGGCAGCACCCTGACCCTGTCCTCCCTGAGCGCCACGGCTCTGGGCGCCTCGTGTGCAGGGCTGGCTCATCAGCACATAGGTGACCGTGCTGTCGCGAGGGTTTTACAGCAGAACTGTCCCAGGGCGCTCTGGGTGCGGCGGGGCCCCTGCCCCTTCCTTCTCAGGGCCTGTCTGAGGGGGGCTTCATCCCAGGCCTCCAGCAGACGCCTCACCGCGCCCGGTGCTTCACTCCCTAGAGTTAGTTTTCGTGATGCTGAATATGCACTGGTGGTTTTCTAAGGATTGTCCTATGAGGCCTGCTTTGCAACTTTTTTCTTACTGTTCTCATTTTAGTGTGATTCTGCTCACTTCTATTATTTATTTATTTATATTATTTTTTAGTTCTTTTGACTTTTTAAAATTAATTTCTGTTATCTGGTATGTTCTCTCATGGTTAAAATTTTTTTCCTTTAAGGTTTTAAAGAAAATGTACGTTTTAATTTCCTAGAGAAATTTGTCAACTTCTTCCACAGTTATTTTATGTTTGCTCCTCTGTGGGTGTTTCTTACAGACGTGACTCATTCGTGCGTTTTCTTTCCCACCGTCCCTGCGTGGGGTTGTGCGGAATGTTCTCTGTAAGCTGGACTCGGGGAAGCAGACAGCCTGGCCGCTGGGGCCTTGTGCTCCTCTGCACGGCCGTGTGCCGCGACACTTAAAACTCGCTCCTCGCTCCGTGCTGGTTGGTCTTCGTCGTCTGCGCTTGAGCCTGGCGTGGCCACTCCTATTTTCCCATAAACGCGTCTACTCTGATGAGATCTCCACCCTCATTGGCAAAGGGCCCCCGGCCTCTCGTCATCGGTACCCTGCTTGTCATCCTTCATTTGCATCCTTTTCCTGAACTTCTCTTTATTTTTCTCTTCCATTCCAAGAATTAAACCTTGTATTTGTTTGTCAGTTCTACTTTCTTGTGCCCTAAATTATTAGTTTCTGTTCTTTTTAATACCCTGTTCTTGCTTTCTTTAGGTTTGAGTTACCTGGCTCATAGTTTTTACAGTTTTGTTTAGGAATGGAGGGCTTTGTGAGCCGCACTGCCCCGCTCGGGCTTACCTAATATCTTATCATGGAAGGTGTCATACGGAAAAGCAGGGAGGACCTGACAGTGAACGCCTAGATTTGATGTGGACACTGCTGTTTACCACATCTGTTCCTCTGTCCATTCCTGTCTGTCTGTCCACCACCCTGTGTTCCATCCACCCATTGCTGAGTGAGTGGCAGACGTCGGGACACTTTCTCCCAAATGATTCTGCTACAGTTCAGCATCTGCAGATGGTTCTCCTTCATTTTGAAGTAAGGCTGGCCTACGATGAAGTGCCAGTCTGGGTGCCACTGCACACACACGTGCGACCAGAGTCCCTGGGAGAGACGGAGTAGCACCAGCACTGAGACGTGACCGCTGTCTCCTCCCCTCAGAGTCACAGTTTAGATTTTACTGCTCTAGACGTCCTCTGATTGGAATCTTGTAGGATGTATTCTGTTTGTGTCTGGATTTCTTTGCTTCGCAGGAAGTCTTTGAAAGTCTGCTCTGCTGTGTGTCGCTGTGGCCCGGGCCCTTCTCTCGCTGAGAAGGGTTTATCTGGATAGACCGATTGCTACCCCTTTTCCTATTGATGGACACCTGGTCTTTTTTCTCTTTCTAGCTACTATGAAGAAGGCTGCTACAAACATTCTCTTCAGGTCTTTTTGTGGAGTGTGTCGTCATTTTGGAGGAATGGTTGGGAATAGAGCGCTGGGTCATAGGGCAGGTGTATGTTTAGTTTTATAAGCAACCGCCAGACGTTTCCCTGGAGTGGTCCTGTGTTCACACTGCCACCAGCCACGGCTCCCCGCAGAGCAGGGCGTCAGCAGCTCTCCGTGGCGTTGGCTCTCAACCACCCCCGAGCATTGCGTGTGCACCCCAGTCGGGTGTGCTTTCATTACCTCACTCCAAGAATGGTTCTGATGTCCCGGAAGCCAGCCCTGCGTCAAGTGTGTGCTTGCAGATTTTCTTCCAGACCGTGACTTGCCTGTTCGTTTTCTGAACGATGTGTTTTTGATGAACAGAAGTTTAATTTTGAGGCATCTGATTTACCTTTTTTTATATGGTTATTTTGTATACGTGTGTGTCTTGTCTAGGAAAACTTTGCCCAATCTCAAGTCCTCAAGATGCTGTTCTGCTTTTCTAAAAGCTGTGTAGTTAGGTTAGTTCGGTTTCTGGTCCATCTCGGTTGGCGTTTGTCGGTGGTGTGCGGTACTGGCTGAGGCTCCTTCCCCCTCTGTGGATGTTCGGTTACTCTGACACTGTTTGTTCTAAAGGCTTTTCTCTCCTCGTTTGATTGTTTCGGTGTCTTTGCAAAACATCGCACGGTCTCCTGAGTGTGGTTCTGTTTGGGGGCGTCTTCTGTTGGCTGCTGCCAGTGTGTCCGTACACGTACCGGCAGCTCTGCAGGAGGCCGTGGTGCATAGCGGGCACCCTCCCCCTCCTTGGTTCTCCTGTGGGAAGGCCGGGTCCGTGGTGCTTCCGTGTAGGTTTTACCAGAGGCCCGCTCCCACCAACAGAACCTTGTCAGGCTTACGACTGCGGGTGCCTTGAGTGTGTAGATCAGTTTGGGGGAAATTGCCGTGTTAACAGTATTGAATCTTTAAGTCCACGAATATGGTACATTTCTCCATTTATGTGGATTTTCTTTAATTTCTCTTGTCAGCATTGTATAGTTTTCAGAGTAGAGGTCTTACATGGGTTTTTATTTTTGTTACGCCTATCGCTGATGGTTTCATAGGTTTTGGAGTTGTTATAAGTGAGATTCCCGAAAGCTTCGTTTTCTAGTAGTTTATAAAGGATAGATTTTTAAGAATATTGTATCCTTTGACAGTGCTAAAATCATGTATTCTGATAGTTATTCTGTAGATTCCTTAGAACTTTCTACGTAAAAAATCATGCCACCTAAAATGGATCAGTTTCATCTTCTTCTCCAAGCTCATGTTTTCCTGTCTTCTCATCCTACGGCAGGGGTTCGAGCCTCTGGTGGGCGGTGATGGAAGGGGTGCGAACGGTTCCCAGTCTGCGGCCAGGGCTTGGGACCCAGCTGTGCTGGTGCACAACGCCAGGTGCCATCATGGGCTCTCTGCTTCAGGCCCGGTCTCTGAGGAACTTCCCTTAGGCTTCTCATCGAGGGGCAGATGTGGGCACGGAAGTAAGGAGAGTGACAGGGGCACATGCCTTGCCCCCTCCTCCTGAATTCTGTCACTGGGATGTGGACTGGCCTTCAGGGAACCCAGCCCTTAAGACTCCCACGGTCAGCATCCCATGTAGCCGGTGAAGTTGTTTTTGGAGGCTCAATTAGCATGTGGAATGCTCTCTTGGTTACACCTCAAGCTAGTTTTAAATTAAACCATTTAGAATGAAGGAGTGTCAGTCCCTGGGAAACTTCCAGAGCCAGGGGAGGGGCAGTGATAGGGGCAAGAGGAGCCCCCCATTCCCAAAATGCTCAGAATCTGTTGCTCTAGAATACACCGTTGGTAGAAGGGACCTTCCACTGCCCTTCCCCTTGCTTACAAGTGGGCTGGCCATGAGATTCTCCCTGGGGAGAAACGTCGGTGTGCGGTCTGTCTGGTCCCAGCACCCCAAGAAAGGTTTACCTGGAGAGGAGTCTTCGATGAAGGAGGCGATTTCCAGCCCAGGTACTAGGATGTGGAGGGGAGGCCCCCTACCTCTATCTGGCCTGGAGGGTAGAGGGAGACTTCATTGCCAGAAGATGGTGTAGCAGGGTCCTGGCCTCAGAGGACACTGTAGGCGGGCGCCCCCCTCCCCCTGTGCCCCTGTCTCTGGCTAGAAGGCGTGGGAGTGGCTCTGGGGCAGAAAGGGGAGAGTGGGCGGGGCCTGTGGTGACGTAGGCACAGTTGTCCTCTGCGGAGGGTGGCCAGCCTGGAGCCCCTGTGCCGAGCCCAGTGGCACAGAACTACACCACTTTAAATTCACTGTTCACATGTCCCCCCAAGTCTCCAGGCTGGAATGAGAGGCACCCAAATCTGAGGACATGTTAATGTTTCAGTCTCACGTAAAAAAGTCATAAACCTGTTTAGGTAGGACGGACAGAGCTGAAGACCGTTCCCTAGCAAGCTGGTTGCTCGTGCAGGATTGAACTTGCAGACCTTTCCCCTTTCTCCTGGGGGTGTGGAGCTTTAGAAACTCAGGGTGTGCGTGTGCGCGTGCGTGCACGCCTGTGTTTTGTGGCTTTTGATTCCTATTTGTTATATTCGTGGTGTTTAATTCTTCATTTTTAGGGCAGGCAGCAGGGACCCCCCCTCTCCCCAGAAGGATGTCGGGAGCCTGCCCTCCACACCTGCCCGGGATGCTGCCCTGTTGGGATTCCTGTCACTTCCTTATTTGCTTCAGCGTCCGGTAGGCCCACTTCCTTGTTGCGTGTTCCCTTAAACATGTTCTGGTTACTCTTACACATTGAGTCTTTTTTTCAAAGTAAGACTTGGAATTAGCTTCACAGGTTCAGGTGAAAATCCTGTCGAAGTTTGAGGCTATGTGAGCTTTGCGGTTTCTCAGGGTCACCAGCCCAGCACCGTCCGCCCTCCCTGGGTTGCTGTGGAGTCTTGTGATGTTTTGCTAGAGAACATGATGTTTCTGGTAGAAAGTCTCTCATCACATTAAGGAATTGGCCTCCATTCATGGCTGTGCTGTCATTTTTATGGTGAGTGGATAGTGAATTCTGTGGTGTTCCATTTGGCACTTCTTGTGGCCATGGTGGTCTTTGTGTTTAAACAGACCCCCAGTGGGGCGCCTGGCAGATGTCCCCATGTTGAACTGTCCTCATGTGCCTCGGTTACACTCCAGCTAGGTGGCCTGTGTTACTAAAAGCACTTCGAGCTTGGATTTGCGGACGTTTGTGTGGCCGTGTTCCTGTGTCCCCCAGGAGCCTGGGCCTGTGCTTTGCTGTGCTTGGTCCCAGTGCTGGTCTGCTGGCCACTGAAGGGGCAGGGGTCTCAGAGCACCAGCCCTGGCCTTTGCCGCCTTCCTGGGATGCTCAGCTCTCGGGGAAGAGGCATCTGGTTTGAGGAGATGCTCAGTAAGTTGTTGATCCTCTTATTGGCAGGAGGGAAAGCACTGACTTGTCCCTCGTAAGTCCTAATAATCCGGAGCCCTGAGGGCTTGCTCCGCGCACGAGGAGCTGATGAGTGGAGCTGTCCTTGTCCACTTGAGCTCTGCTCTTTTTTTTTTTTTTATAAAATATTTTATTTATTTATTTTACAGAGAGAGAGAGAGAGAGCAGGAACACAAGCAGGGGGAGTGGCAGAGGGAGAAGCAGGCTTCCTGCCGAGCGGGGAGCCCAATGTGGGACTCGATCCCAGGACCCTGGGATCATAACCTGAGCCGAAGGCAGACGCTTAACGACTGAGCCACCCAGGCGCCCTTGAGCTCTGCTCTTTGGCGCGAGGGGAGCAACCTTGCTCCCCAGGGGCCCTCTGGGGCTCTCTTAGGGGCTGTGGTTGGGGGCAGCATGGGTGTCCCTGACTTTGGGCCACGCAGGAGGGTGGGCTTTTCAGAGCTTGCCCTGGGTAGCGGAGGGGTTTGGGGTGGGTGACCCTGGCCTAGCACTGTAGGCTTGTTGAGCGGCTCTTGCCTCTGGGAAGCCTTCCTCGGTGCTTCTCCCCGGTAGGTGAATAGTTGCAGTTTCTGGAAACTCCCCTCTTGAAAATGCCTGTTGGGGTCACCACGCATGACTCCCCTTTCACGTGTGCTTCCTGGGCTTCGGTGTGGGGTTCCCCTCCTGGCCTGCCCTGTGCCTGGAGGTCACTGCCCTTCTGTGGGGTGACGGGCGGCCACAGTGTTCCGAAGGACCCAGCTCGCGGAGTCAGGGCTCCCGTACCTGCCACGTGCCGGCCGCTGGCTGGTGGCGCCTCTGGCTGTGGACCCACCGGGCGCTGTGTCAGGAAGGTGGCGTGTCGCAGCCTTTGAGGTGTGATTCCTCGTGTGGCTGGCCGTTCCAGCGGGGCAGGATGGGCTCAGGTCTGGTCGTCCCCCAGCCGCTGTCCTGTCCCAGCTTTTCAGTGAGAGCCTGACAGAGCAAATGCACAAAATCCGTGAGCGCAGAGTCCGCGCGTCTTTTGTGTACAACGGGCCCTGGGCCCACCCGCTGTCTCCCTGGGTAAGAGCTGAGCTGGCGTTGCCCACCGGCCGCACTGGAAATACTGCATTTGAATACATATTTTATTAGCAACTGTGAAATAAAAACATTTCTAGGTGAAAATCAAATCCCCAGAGGCTTTGAGACTCCTGGGAGGCTCCGTCAGTTAAATGTCTGCCTTTTGATTTCGGCTCAGGTCGTGGTCTCAGGATCCTGGGATCGAGCCCCGTGTTCGGCTCCTTGCTCAGCGAGGAGTCTGCCCGAGACTCTCTCTTCCTCTGCTGCGCCCCCACTTGCACCCGTGGCTTCTCACATGAACACATAAATCTTAACAAAACAATTCCCAAGGCCGTGCCCCCCACACGGGCCGTGCCCCCGTCCCTCATCCTCCAGCACCCCGTGTTCCTCTCAGCCGCACTGGCCCCCGGCCTACCCCGGTGCCCCCTTCCCAGTGGCTGCGCCGGACCTCCGTGCAGAGCCTTGTGGGAGCCCCAGGATGTCAACTCCTGTATGTGGGGATCCACTTTCTCCTGGTGCGTCTCGGGAGGAACTTGGGGAGCACAGGAGAGCATGACCCTGCTGCTCAGTGACTCACTGTTTACATCATTCTCCCCTCGCCCACTGACTGCGCAGCCTGCGCCCCCCACGTGCACAGGCCCCCGAGCCAGCGTCCCTTTTCAGAAAGAGAAAAAGCCTCAGCGCCTGCAGCTCAGTCTCGGCATCCCGCGATTAGGGTGCCGGCCTGCCTCCCGGGTTCCCAGGGCGAATGTAGGTGCCACCCGCCGGCCCTGCTCAGGAAGGAAGCTGGTTGCCTGTGTGCTTGTCCCTTGCTCTCTGCTCCTCTCACTAACCCATTGTCCCCCCCCCCCCCACCGTCCCCTACCTGCCCTCAGAAATCGAAGCCATAAAGCTGGCCGAGCAGAAGCGCAAGGCAGAGCGGAGACGGAGGGCCACGGTGGTGGTGGGGGACCTGCAGCCCCTGAGAGATGCCCTCCCTGAGCTGCTGGAGCTGGAGGCGGGCAGTCGGCCGCCACGTGCCAGAGGGTGAGTGTCTGTCTGTGGCTGCCTTGGGAATGCGAGGCCAGGAAAGGGCCGGGTCTTCCAGAGTGGCAGCTGCTGGCCTGTGTCCGGAACCTGGGGAGGAACCAGCAGGGGAGCGGGGTGGGGCGGGGGGGAGGCAAAGCCTGCAGAGGTGCCCGACCTCCTTGTTGATGCAGAAACCCTTGCTTCCGTGGTCCAAGCCTTGAGGTAGGCTGGTGGTGTGCTGACTCTCTTGCTGGGGCCTCTGCGGGCAAATGGCCTGTCCGGCATGTTGACGAGGGGCACCTGTCGGCCTTCTCCAGAGTGGGCCTCGGAGCAGCTTAGCTGGGAGGGCTGCGGTGTGGTGGGTCCTTCCAGCCACCGGGCTTCACCCCCCAGGGACACGGCCTGCCACCATACCTGCTGCCTTCGGCACCCTCGCCCAGAAGTACACATTCTTGTAGCGCTTCCTGCCTCCCTGGAACATGGGTGCTCTAGAGAAGCCAGTCCCTCTGCTGTCCCTCTCTGTGCCCCTTCATCAGCTTGGAGGTTGGGGGTGTCCAGCGATGTGCTCAGGGCCACTTTGGCTGCAGAGCCAGAACATCCCAGGCCAGCTCCCGGGATGGGAGCACCCAGAGCCTTTGGTCCGGACAAAGAATCGAGGAGTGGCCTTCACAGTTGAGATTGGTGATCGAGCCAGAGCCTGAGATGCAAATTCCCCCCCCTGATTCTTGATAAAAACATGTGATCCCAGTCAAGTGTCCTTCCCCTGCTTTCAGTTTTTTTTTTCTTTTCTTTTCTTTTTTTTTAAAGATTTTATTTATTTGATGGAGAGAGACACAGCGAGAGTGAATACAAAGCAGGGGGAGTGGGAGAGGGAGAAGCAGGCTTCCCGCTGAGCAGGGAGCCCGATGCGGGGCTCGATCCCAGGACCCTGGGATCATGACCTGAGCCGAAGGCAGACGCTTAACGACTGAGCCACCCAGGCACCCCGCTTTCAGTTTTCTCATCTGAAAAATGTGCTCGGGGCTCCCAGAGTGGGGAATTGCTGCGTAAACACTCAGTTGGCAGCCCGAGGAGGAATGTGTGTGGCCTCGGGTGGCCTGGGCTGCTGAGCTGGGCTGTAGCTGAGGTTGCTTCCGGCTCTCTGGGTGTGGGAAGGTCCCCAGCTGGTCTCCTAGCTGAGCCTCCTGTTGGACGGGGGTCACCGTCCCTCCTCAAGTGCGTCTGGCACTGGGGAGCTGTTTGTTTGAATAAATGTTATTTTAGAACAGTTTTAGATTTACAGAAAATGATGAGAGGATCCTGAGAGTTCCCACGTCCCTCACATCCAGCTCCCCCTGTCAGCATGGTGCACTGGGGGCCCTTAAGGAATCAGTATTGATACGTAAATAATAGTGATTGAATAAAGCCCATGGGTTATTCAGATTTCCTCAGTTTCCCCTAATGTCCCCCTTCTGTCCCAGGATCCCGTCCAGGACACCACGTGACACCGGTCATGTCCCTTTACATCTCCTCTTGGCCGTGACACTTTCTCTGATGACCCTGACCGTTGGGAGGAGGACCAGTCAGGTGTTTGGGGGGATGCCCCTCGTTGGGAGGAGGACCAGTCAGGCGTTTGGGGGGATGCTCCTCGTTGGGATTAGCATGATGTGGTTTCTCATGAGTGGACTGGGGTCAGGGGTTGTCGGGGGGAAGACCACACAGGGCAGTGTCCGTCTCATCCCATCCGGCCCAGGTGCCTGCCGTCAACATGACTTGTCACTGCTCGTGTTGGCCGTGGTCACCTGGCAGAGGTGTGTCTCCCCGGTGTCCCCACCCCACGTGGCTCCTTCCCTTTCCTGCTCTGTCCCCTGGGGAAGGGAGTCGCCACGCTCAGCCCACACCTAAGGAGTGGGGAGGTGCGCTCCGCTCCCCGAGGACGGAGCGGCTGTGCAGACACTGTGGGATTCTCCTTCGGAGGAGGAGATAAGTACCGTTTCCGTGTCAGCGCATGAGTGAATCATCTATGGATGTCCGAATGGACTCGTGGATATTTATTTTATACTGTGGGCTATAATCCAACAGGACTTCACTCTGTTGCGGGGACTGGTCCAGCTCTGGCCACCGGGAGCCCCTTCAGGTGGCTTCTGTGCTGGAGGGGGTCACACCAGGGGCTGACACTTGAAAGCATGCAGACGGTACAGATGGCTCTGCTGATCAGTTTGTGTTGTCCCCCCCTCCTCTAGGCGTGGGGGACAGGGTTCCACACAGGGCAGAGCACCAGGTCGGCTCCACCCCACCGCCCCCTGGGCCAGGGCCGCCCCTGCCGCAGCACCTTCCCCAGCACCCCCCCCTCCTGGGGTTGGGGTGGGACAGGATATGCCGTGGGGTTGGCCTTGTGGCCCTGGACACCCAGGCCTGAGTGCGAGGGTCCCCAGTCACCTACTGGGACACCCTGACCAAGGCCCTGGGCCCTTCTCCAAGCTCATCCCACATCTGTGATGTGGCCTCACTGGGCGGTGGTTGCAGAGAGCCATCGGAGCCCGCCTTCCCGTGCTGTGTCCCAAGCCGTCTGGGTGGGCACGACACAGCACGAGTTGTACGCACAGTGATGCTGCTCGTTAGTGGAAGGTTAGATTCTCTAGGAACTTGGTCCTTTGGGCAAAAGAGCGTCAGGCGAAGGTCACCTTGTCCTTTCTGATGAGCTTTGTGCAGCTGAGCCACCAGGCTAGCCACCCCTTGGACCCCATGTAGTCCTGGTGACCTTGGCCACATCTTGAGGCTGCTGCCATGGATACTCGGAGAGCCCCTGGGCGGCAGCCAGGGTCAGGGTGCTTCCTGCCGGCTCAGCCCTCCCGGATCTTACAGGCCAGTAGGTGCTGCTGGAGAGCGGGCTGGGAATAGCACCGTGGACCCCATTGGGCTGCCCTGGGTGGACTTCAGGGCTTCGCCCACCGGGGCTGTGGGTTTGGACAAGAGTCCGTATTGTTTGGGGTTTCTTACACCCACTTGGTTTCCTAGGCCCCTGGGGTGGGACATGCCATGTGGGCTCACTCCCATCAGCAGGCAAGTGAGAGGGCTGGGCCCCACCGTCTGCAGGAGAGCAACAAAGCTGGGAGTTACCTGGGTGCACCTGCGCGCTCACTTTCCCCTTGGACTGCAGGCCCGCTAATGCAAGTTTGCCAGGAAAGCATTTGTCTGTTTGACGGGGAAACTGAGGCTTCAGGGTACAGCGGTTGTCCCAAGGTTCATCCCTGGTTTGTTGGTGTCCAGAGCCACTCCCTCCAGGGCTGGTGGGGCTGGGGTCACGTTTGTGGTACTTAAGCAGCAAGCAGGCTGTGGGCTCTGAGCAGCACATCGTTCCTGGCCAGAGGTCTCAGCCCACCATTGACCCTGCTCTGTCTGAAGCCAGAACCAAGTGAGTCTCTGCCTTCCAGGGGCTCTCCACCTGAGAGACTTGAAGTCAAAGCCTGGGCCTGTCTAGACGGAGGTGACAGGACTGAGGGGTTGGCTCTGCTCACCCAGACAGCCTGCCTTTGTCCACAGGACGGGAGCCTCCCCCTGGAAGCTGCTTACCAGGTCCTAGGCACGCCCTGAGGCTCCGTGTGCACCCTGGCTGCCCACCGTGCTGGGGCGTTTAAGCCACTAGAGACTGCACCTGGCCCCTGGGCACTGAGGGGACTCCCTGATGCGTCTACACGGGCACTGCTATCAGAGCTGGAGGGCCATGGGTGGCCTCAGTGGATTTTACCTTTTTATTTTTATTTTATTTTATCTTTTTTTAAGAGAGGGGAAGAGAGAGGGAATCTCCATCAGACTTCCTGCCGAGTGCGGAGTCCGACCTGGGGCTCGATCTCACGACCCTGAGATCATGACCTGAACTGAAATCAAGAGTTAGATGATGCTTAACTGACAGAGCCACCCAGGCGCCCCAATTTTACCTTTTTCTAGGTGGGGGTGCGGGGGTGTTGGGGGGTGGGGGTTGGATCGGATCCAGGGCTTAGGCTCCCTGACCTGCCGGCACAGTGTCCTGGGCATGCCAGTCGGTTCTGTGAGGGGCCTGCTCCGGGGTGAACATGGAGGGTCAGCAGCAGGAGGAGCGGAGCTGCGGTGGGAACCGTCTGGGATGCATGAGACAGGTCTTTCATTCATATTTTAACAAAAACCATGAATAAAGGATGAGGTCTGCTGGCCTGGAGGCTAAATTTAGGTGTTGGCCTGGGGCTCTGGTTTTCTCACCCTTCCTGCTGCTGGCTGTGTAGACGCGCATGCCTCCAGGTGACAGCTCCCCAGGCTACCGTGGGGTCCCACAGGGGAACCTGTGCTGACTTGCTTCTCTGTCCCTCGCAGGGTGAGCAGCAGGCCCCGCCCCGCCGAGTTGAGCCGCATGAGCACCGCGCAGAGGCTCCAGCTCCTGTGAGTAGGCCCTGCCACCAAAATGAGGCTCCAGTGCACCCACCTCCTTTCCTCCCACCTCACCCCAGTACCGTCCGGCCTCTGGCCGAGCGCCCCCGGCCCTGGCCCACTCAGGCCCACGGACAGCTTGGCCGGTGGTGCCTCTCATTGGCATGAAGGAGCCGGTTTGTAGCTGGGCCGGGGAGCCCCTTTGCCCAGGTAGCGAGGGGAGCAGAAGCTGCCAGAACAAGACATGCTGGCTCTTAGGGGATCACCCTGGGAGCCCAGAGCCCACTGCCCTCCCAGGCATCTTGGGTGTGGACCCCTGGCTTGGGCAGTTGGTCCAGGGATTCAGTCTCCCTGTCAGCAGCCGGGAAAGCCAGGCACCTTGCGGTTCAGCCTTGCCCCATCACTCACACACAGGGCAGAGCACCAGTTCGGCTCCACCCCACCGCCCCCCCCGGGGCCAGGGCTGCCCCTGCTACAGCACCTTCCCCAGCACCGTGCCGCGGGTGCCATGGCGGCCCTGCCCGCACGTGGCCTGGACCGCCATCCCGAGCTTTCAGTGCACGGGTGTCCTCCCTCGGGTGCCTCTCGCCAAGGCACCTGCAAACGTCCAGCTGGCCCCTGTGCTTCTGAGATGCGGCATGAGTGCCGGCTCTCCCATGGGCTGGCTGGGCTTAAGAGACCCACGTGCAGAGAGTGGCAGCCACCACTGTGGACTGGGGGCTCAGGTCCTCCCCTGGGAAGAAGCCCTCCAGCTCCCATCAGAGGCAGCCACTGCCCCCTCTGTCGCTGGGGCACCCCATTGTGGGCAAGGCCGGTCTCGGGCCCGTGGGGCCACAGTGCTCGGTTTTGGCTTGCTGGAGGGAGGGCGCCTCTTGTGTAAGCCCACGTGTCTGCAGGCCACGTGTCTGCTTCTTCCTGCTTTGCATAGCAGCTCCGCATCGGAGTTGGGGATGGGGGGCCCAGAGCCCACTTCTTGGGGGAGGGCAGGGGTGCTAGTCCCCCAGACCCACGCTCCAGAGCCCGTGTGTGATCGTGAGGAGGTCCCAGGGCAGCCAGTCCCTTCCTGCCCAAAGCGCCTGTTAGCTCTCATAGCCCCCCTCATCCCCCTCGGGCCTGACCCAGCAAGGCCGCTCCTGAGCCCCCTCCCTGCCCTGCTGCCTTCCTCATCCCCCCCATCCTGCCCCTGCCCACTGCCCCCTGGTGACCCTTGGGCCCCAGGTGCTCTGCCCTGTGTAACCCCTGCCTACCCACTCCGGTGTCTGGCGCTCCCCGAGGTGCCCAGGGATGGGATGGCCGGGCTGGGGCTGGGCTGGGGCAGTGCTGACGCTCATCCCCACCCCTCCCTACACAGGGTTGTGGGGTTTGCTGACCTGCGCCGATCTCCTCTCTTTCAGGGAGGAAGAAAGGGCTCGGTTTCGGGAGCTGCTGGCTAGCCCAGCCTACAGGGCCAGCCCCTTGCTGGCCATCGGGCAGCAGCTGGCCCAGCAAATGCAGCTGGACGGCGGCAGCCAGCTCTGATCTCTGATGCAGCCTGGAGACGTGCCGTGAGCTCCAAGGGTCCACCCCCTGCTGTCCTTGCCCTGAGCCTGGCAGGAGAGCCCACCATGAGAATGAATGAAGGCACGATCTCAGGCGTTGGGATGGGGGCAGTTCCTCTGTGCCGCCCCGCGGCTCCCTGGGCTTCCTTCCAGACTGCTCTTGGGTTTCTCTGGGCGGGCCACCCAGGAGGCTGCCCACGCTCCCTCGGCACGACCCACCACCCAGCAGGCTCTGGGGATCCCCAGCTCCTCTGCAGCCCCAAGACGCAGTCATGGTGGGTTCTGTGGGCGCTTGCTGCCCTCCCGGTTCCCAGGGGCTCCTCTCTGCTTCCTGGGGTGTGGTCCCTGTGCTCCTCCCTGGCCCGCTCCCCACCGTGTCTCCCTTTGGCTCCGAGCCCAGGTTGCTCCCCACCTGTGCCCTTGTGATTGAGGTGAGCTGGGCTGCCATAGTCCAGCAGTCTGGACACTGGGAGCAGGCCTGGTCCCGCCCTGGAGCGACACAGCTGATCCGGGAGCAAGATGGGTGTTTACTGTTAGAAGCCTGGGGTTTCGGGGCCAGACTGCAGGAACAGACTTCAACCCTAAGGCCCTGGGCTTGCCTGGGGAGTGGGAGTTGGGAGTGTGTGCTGTGTGGGGACTCACCGCCCATGTCCTGCGGGGTCAGTGGTGGTGGACGTGTGGCCCGGAGGCCTGGGCACCCACGGCAGCAGCTCTGGACCCAGTGAGTGCCCCGTCGCTCTTGGGGCCGGGGCCAGGATACCCAGCACCCCTTCACAGGCTGTGGTGTGGGCGTGGGCACCAGCGCACCCAGGCACCAGGCACTCTAGGCTTTGTGGCTGAACCAGCGTGAGCTCCAGTTATGTCCCTGACCTCTGGTGCCCTGGTTGGCATGCTCGCGACTCACGGACCCCCGAGCAGCGTCTACCAAGGCTATCCGGCCATGGGTGGCTAAAGGGATCTGAGCCCATGCCCCGCCCCCATTGGGCATCCTGGGCCTCTTCTCTGCACAAGAGCGCACAGTGTGGGCGCCTCCCAGGAATGGGACATGGAAAGGGACAGATGTGACCACCGAGGCTGTAGGTGGGAGCCTGAGTCCCCTGGGCCGGAGGCCAGCACGGCCGTCTCGCCAGGACTGCCACCCCTTAAGTGACGGTGCACTCTTGTCAGCACAGAAACAAGTTCTCAGTAAGGGAGATGAGTTGTTTATAAAGTGGTATTTGTGACAAACTCATTTTTGCAATAAATAAGTGCTGGGAGAAACAGACTGGGGTACAGGTTGCCCGGAAGGTGATGCAGGCACCTTGATGTTTCTCCGTCATGTTTTTCCGAATGTCTGAGTTTGGTGACAGTGACTGCAAGGCTGGTACGTGTCGTCTGAAGGGAAAATGTACTTCTTGGCCTCCAGCAACTCCAGTGTGGCCCTGGCCGGGCCAGCTCGGCTCCCCTTGTGCCCCGGCTGCCCGGGAGTGCGTGTACCATGGGAAAGGGAGGGGCCGCATGGAGGGGGGCGGGCTCCTCTTGAGGGGGTGAGGCACGTGGGCTGTGCCAACCACTGGCCTCAGAACTCACCCCAGGAAGATCACCAGAGAAGCCTCGAACGTGTGGGGACCTCAGCCCCAGAGCAGGGTGCCGGGTCCCGATGACAGTTTACAGGAGAGTCCCCCTGGGTGTCCCCTGGCTGTGGCCAGACGCCTGCCGCTGAGCGGGCATGTGTGTGGTTTCTGATGTGTGTGCCGTGGGCATGACTGCCGTGGTGGCAGGTGTAAGTGGTGAAATGGAACAGTTCGTGGTGTTTGTGCCTCTTAAACCCTGTGCACTCCTGCTGTGCAGGGCTGCGTGGGTCTGTGTCTCTGGCACCTGCCTGTAGGGTCCTGCCTGCCCTGCCCGCAGGCTCACCTCTGAAGGTCCCCTGGCCCCCAGCCAGAAATCTTCAAGACCTCTTTTTTTTTTTTTTTTAAAGATTTTATTTATTTATTTGAGAGAGAGAGAATGAGAGATAGCACGAGAGGGAAGAGGGTCAGAGGGAGAGGCAGACTCCCTGCCGAGCAGGGAGCCCGATGCGGGACTCGATCCCAGGACTCCAGGACCATGACCTGAGCCGAAGGCAGTCGCTTAACCAACTGAGCCACCCAGGCGCCCAAGACCTCTTTTTAAAAGTACTCCAGCAACCCACCTGGATCCTCCTTCCCCATGAAACACCCCTCTCTTCCCTTCTAGAGCCCCTGGTTGGTATGTGTGCTGTCCCCTTCTTTCGGTGGACGTGTGCATCGGTTATCAGCTGCTGTGGTACCTGTGTGATAGACATCCCCCAAACGTGCAGCCGCGTGTTCTCCCCACAAGCCTGGGCCAGGCCGGACTCTTGCCTGCGGCACCCGTTGAATTTGTTTCTTGGGGAACAGACGAGCAGATGGGGTGACTTCAAACCCTGGGAATGCGTTCCCTCCTGGAGCCTGGTCATGCTGGCGGGCCCACGCTGTCTGCGGAGGCCTCCGGACAGGCAGACGGGCAGTCCTGGTTGTCAGCCCCTCTCGTGTCCCCGGCTGGTGGCCGCGTCACTCCTGTCCCTCCCTCTGCCTCCTGTGAGTCATTGGGTCGGGGCCCGCCCTCCTGCAGGACGACCTCCCCTTAACTAATTCCATTGCAAAGATCCTACTTCCAGATACGGTTGCATTCTGAGGTTCCACGTACATGTGAATCTTGGGTGATGCCCTGGGTCTGGGGGGAGGTCGGGGCAGCGGGATTCTCGGAAGCTCCCAGGTGAACCGAAGATGCACATCCAGAGTCGGCTACCACTCGCCAAGTGGGGCGGGGAGGAGGTGAACTCGCCTACAGGGCAAAGCGCTGGGTGTTGGGAGGCTTCATGGGGTGGGACGTTGACGCGGGCGAAGGACTGGAAGGCGTGGGGCAGTCGTGGACAGCAGAGCACTGCCCTGGGGCTTTGGGTGGGGGGCTGGGGTCCCCTCGTGGTGACGAGGGCCTCCTGGTGCCCCACCCCTTCCTGTGCTCCCCCAGACGGCACCCCAGTCATTCTGGCACGTCTGCCCTTGTCCTGCCCGGTGTTAACATGTTCTCCGAGCTGGCTTGCTTCCCCTAGGATGGAAACGATGGAGGGCAGGGTGTGCTTTGCACTGCTGGGGGGTCAGCAGCCCCACGTGGCAGTGAATGAATGAATGAACCAGAGGCAGGAAGCAGTGGCCTGCGTGGGCCCAGGTGACCAAGCTCAGGGCCCAGCTGGGGTGGCCCTGTGTCTGTACGCGGTGTCCAGTGGGGAGAGGGTTCCTGGGGGCGCGGACTCAGGCGCCTGGAGGGGAGGAAGGAGTCCGTATGAATGCACGGCCCTCAGGGTCCGTTCTGGTTCTGGGTGTGTCTGCAAGCCGCAGGCCTCTGAGGCAGGCCAGCAGGGCTGGCTCGTGTTTGGGTTCTTCTCTCAGGTGTCTGGGTTGTTGGGCTGATGATGGCTGCACCCCGTCTGTATGCAGCTTTGTCAAGAGGGGCCTGGGTCTGGTGCCAGGCGGATGGTGATGCGTGAGCCTGATGCAGCCCCACAGCCTCAGCATGCCGGCCTTCATGTGGACTCGGGCTCCCTTGCTGCTTCAGAGACTGTCCTGGGCAAAGACGGGCGTCAGTGCCGGGCAGCCGCAGCTGGGTGGTGAGTCAGGCACAGGCAGCCGTGCCTATCAGGGTTCCGTGTTGCTTGGAAGTCAGGTGTTGTGCAAACTGCTCTTGGAATGCTCTTCATGCAGCGATCACACCGGTCCGTGACCGCTGCTTGGGCTGAGATGTTGGAGCCCAGCCCCTGCCTGGCCCCGGTGGGTTCTTGGCCACCACCCCATGACCCGGGTTCCAGGGTGCTGCTATCAGTGCATGTCTCCAGGATATCGGGAGAGCCAGCCGGCTCCTGGAGATAGCAAGACGCCAGCCTTCCGGGCCTTTCTCTGATGTCCCGTTCCCGGGCCAGCTAGTCCCCTGCTTCTGGACCTGAGACCCTCGGCCTGCGTGGACAACCTCCTTATTTTGAAGTCAAACAGACTCAATAAACTGCATTTTCTTCTAAAGGTGTTAAAATAACATGGGTTACAGTAATAATTACAGGCGTGTTCTGGATGTTGGCTTGTGTTTCTTAAGGTTTTGTTAAGATTGGGAAATGTTATTTTTCAGATTGTGGGGAGAAAATCAGTGATTACTTGTGTCTTTGAATTCACATGTCCTCTGGTGCCACAGAGGCTGCAGGGCCGTGGAATCTGTGGGGCCTCCTGCCAGGCTGAAGCCTTTTCCCTTCCTGTTCTGGTCTCTGCTGGCAGAAGAAGGGACCTGGGGGCTGGGCCCGCTGAGCCCTGGCTGGGACTTTCTCTGCAGAGGGGGAACCCAAGAGCCTGGAGAGGGGAGAGCCCCCCCGCCCCGGGCTGGGGCTGGAGCTGGGGTATCCGGTGCTTTTCCTGCTGAGGCTGAGGTCCTCAGGAATGCAGAGCTTCCAGGCACCCCGGGACCCCCATGTATGCCCTTAACCTCCGCCCTCTGCAGGTTCAGGTCAGTGCCTGAAGCCACAGCACAGGGTTGGGGCGCCCTTCTCCCTGCTTCGGTGCCCAGGGTTCTTGCACAGTGGTAATTATTCCAGTCTCCTAAGTTGGGAGCAGATTCTAATTACATCACGGTGTGTAATTAGTCTATCCTGGTCAGCCCCCGGGCTCTGGGCGCCTGTGTGAACAGCCTTCCCTCTGCCTCCTGCAGACGCACGCCCCTGGGTCTGATGGACCTGGCCCTGGCTGGCCGACCCACGTCCCCCCACCCAACAGGCTAATGTGCCCCATCCTCTGGCCTGCCACCTGGCAGGGTGCACCCCCCCCCATTCCCAGCCAGCCTTTCTGCCCCAGTCTGTAGCTGATCCTCACGCCACATCCAGCACACACTGGGAAAGCTAGTTCTGGTGGGGCAGGTAGGCACAGCTGTCTGCCGCCCATAAGCTCAGTGGGTGCCCTGGGC